GGAGCTGGCCTCAAATCCAAAGCAGTTGTGTACCTCTGTAATGTCACGTCACTGTTGTACCTGTGGATACATCTTATCTGGCAGATCAAGGTTGTAGCATGTAGAGTACACACTGGGTAGGTCCACTGAGGACTTTTCTGTCTTAGTGGAACACATAGCACCTTCTAGTACTATGAAATTTAGCCATGAGGAGAGATGTTCCCAGGTCAGTTCCAACTTGATTTTTCTATGCCTTGTAACCAAATATGCAATATTTTCAGCAATATGGTTTTATCATCTAGTTTTGGTAGGAAACTAAGAACAATAGCAATAACCTATGTTGTTTTGTTGGCTGGGGCTACCATGATCAATAACTCATAGGAAGTATCCCATGTCTGGCCTTGAGATTTTCATTTAATAACCTATGTCTTCTGGGTGAAACCTTTATCCACCTACTGATGATAGCTTTGTTCAAACTCCCATTTTAAATGTTTTTTAAAAATTGGCCTTCAAACTAGTGGGTTTCTAAAGACTGTTTATATTTCCTTAATTTTGGTTACTGCTCTACTACCACCATACCCCTCATTCTGCCACCCCTACCCCAACTTAAGCCTTCAACTCCACCAGCCCCCTTCTCCAATTTCCCAGAAGGCTCAAGGACACTACAAGAAACCTACAGAATTAACTAACTTGGGTTCTCTGGGGCTCACAGAACCTAAACCACCAACTAAAGAACATGCATGGGACAGACATAAGCCTCCTACATATATGTAACAGATATGTATCTTGGTCTTCATGTGGGACCCTTAACAACTGGAGAGGGGCTGTCTCTGACTCCAATGCCTGCCATTGGACCCCTTTCCTTCTATAGGGCTGCCTTGTCTAGCCTCAATAAGAGAAGATATACCTAGTTTTATTATAACTTGATATGCCAGAGCTGTTTGTTCTTCATGGGAGGTCTCCCCTTCTCTGAGGAGAAAGGTAGGGTGGTATGGGTGAGGGGAAGTGAGAGGGAGGGACTAGGAGGAGAGGAGGGAGGGGAATCTGTGATTAAGATATAAAGTAAAGAAATAAAAGATAGATAAATAAAAACTAGACGGCCTTATAAGACACATAAGTTTGCACTGTAGGTATGAAGCAATGGGAAGGATTTGTGTCATTTAATATGTGGGCTGCCTTCATTTTTACTCAGGGATGTTGTTTCAGATGACGGCTTAGAAGCTAGTAAGTACTGGCCTGTATTTATGCTGTACAACTTCCAGAAAGGGCATGGAAGCTGGAATCACGTGTGTTTGTGCTGTACAATTTCCAGAAATTTTTAACTGATGACTCTATGCACTATTCTTTCACAGAGAGCTGATATTTGAGGAAGTGTTTTTATTAATCCAAGAAAAAGATGATGTATACATCCCAAGAATCACTCTTGCTCTTAAATGTGTGTCTTCTCATTTGTGGAGAAGCTGTACAGGGCAGCTGTGTTCCTCACTCTACGGTAAGAATTTAGCAATATTACTTTAGCTTAGAAAGCCGTTTTAGCTTTCGAGATATAATAGAAGCTTGAAATACAAATTATATGACAAATATAGTTTAATGTAACAATTAAAATTTTGTTTCAAAATTAAGACTTCTTAAATGTTACATTTTTTCAAGATAATAAACTAAATTTAACATCAACTTTTAAAGAAAGTTCTCAACTGTTTAAAGATATTTTAATTCACAGCTTCCCTAGTATGTTTGATAATAAGACATCTGATGGGTAATAAAAAAATCACTCTTTATAAAGAAAGGTAATCTGTCAACTTTGACATTTTAAATTAAGCCCTATGTGCATTTAAACAGGATGTAAGATTATCTTATCTAAAATAAAATCAGAGAGCCAGCTTATATAGAATATGCAATGTTATGAATAACTGAGGATTTGAATGCCTGTATATTTAAGTATTGGTTTACATTTTTTTGAAGATATACATCTCCAAGCTTTGTCAAGTTTTTACTTTTTTTTTAAAGATATATTTATTTATTTTATGTATATGAGTACACTGTAGCTATCTTCAGACACACCAGAAGAGGGCGTTTGATTCCATTACAGATGGCTGTGAGCCACCATGTGGTTGCTGGGATTTGAACTCAGGACCTCTGGAAGAGCAGTCAGTGCTCTTAACCACTGAGCCATCTCTCCAGCCCTGGTTTACATTTTTTAATGCTAATAATGTATTTACCATTATATCACAACCAAATAAATTCCAAGATTCTCTGGTTGAAACAAGAAAAAATTCTGAAGCAGCTGCATAGATACTAATGATTTCATTCTTTAATATACTAAAATTTAAGGGCCTTACTGAAAAAAGAATATCTATAGTACATTTTTAGTTTTTCGAGACAGGGTTTCTCTGTGTAGCCCTGGCTGTCCTGGAACTCACTCTGTAGACCAGGCTGGCCTCGAACTCAGAAATCCGCCTGCCTCTGTCTCCCAAGTGCTGGGATTAAAGTCATGTGCCGCCACTGCCCGGCCTATAATACGTTTTTTAAAAACATCAATTCTGTCAGTTATTATAGAGGTGTGGAGAGAGAGCAAGAAAGTTAGAATGGTTTGTGTAGCCAAGTTTAAGTTCTTTATAAGGGCAAATATCTTTGTAATATGGTTAGTTATATATCAGTCTCTCAGTGTCTCGAACAGGACAAACTTGTTACAGCTTCCAATAGGCACCATTTTATCAAAGTATGTCTTGATATTTAAGACACTAATATTTATTAATGTAAGGTGTTATCCTTTTAATGTTATGTCACCAAGTTTTGCAAAGCAAAATTTCCATATTTTTAATTTTATCTATGATAATATTAAAATCTATGTTATCCTTTCAAATCTTTAACTATTTTATGTGAAAGCAAATCTTCCTACACATTCCTCTTACAATGTTAAACAGTTGGTAGCAAAAGTTTCATTTGGCTAGAAGTACTGGAGATATACCTGAGGGATTTCCTTAGCCCTTTTCCAAGGGATTGTATGTCCTGTCACATTCAAGTGTGTTGAAAATAAAGATCAAAACTGCCAAGTCATAGTGGGAGCAAACCCTAAGCAAGTGTGTTTAGAGTTAGAGAAGAAAAAGAGACAATGCAAGTATTGACCCAATCCAGATTGTACCCGTAAGTTTATTTGTGGCAATTTAAAACAATCAGTTTAGCTTATATCTTAAGTGATCGTCTTCGTTGTATATTTCAAATTCTAATCTTTTTTTCTACAGTCTTTATACTGTATAGAAGTTCTGATGGCATAGTTTCATGCATTTTTCTTGTTTCTATTTCATAACCTGAAGGATTCTTTAGTAGGTAACAATGTGGAAGATAAAGCTAAACTCAAAGAGAAAAGTCAAAGTAATGATACTGTATACAAGGAGAATTGTAGAGAATCATGTGATGCTAAGACCAAAACAACTCAAGAAGAAAAACATTTTATGTGCAGTAAGTATTAAAAATTACCTCAGGTGGCAGATGCTCACAGCCAACCACTGGACTGAGCACAGGGACCCCAATGGAGGAGTTAGGGAAAGGACTGATGGAGCTGAAGTTGTTTACAACCCCATAGGAAGAACAACAATATCAACCAACCAGATCCCTACAGAGCTCCCAGGGACTAAACCACCAACCAGAGAGTACACATGGAGGGACCCATGGCTCCAGACACATATGTAGCAGAGGAGGGCCTTTAATGGGAGGAGAGGCCCTTGGTCCTGGGAAGACTTGATGCCCTAGTGTAGGGGAATACCAGGGTGGAGAGGTGGGTGGGGGCATCCTCATAGAAGCAGGGGGAGGAAGGATGGGATAGTCGGTTTTCAAGGGGAAACCGGGAAAGAGGATAACATTTGAAATGTAAATAAAGAAAATATCCAATTAAAAAAAAAAGAAAAAATTACCTCAGGTATAATGAGATCAAAATTTGACAGAGAAAAATATGCCTTAGTTTTATAAGGATTATTTTATATTCTTGTCACCCAAGGCCAGATGCTTTATGTAATAATTACATACTTTATAGATATTTAGTAAGTCAATGAAATCTTCCTTCCAGGGAGTTGTATCTACACATCACTGAAAGAAGGGCAAATCTGAGGGCTTTGATAATAGGGCCACACTAATTTACTAGGGGCTGTTTTACTTCCTACATCTGAACTCTGGAAATTTCACCACAAGGTTGTTTTTTTTTTTTTTTTTTAATTTACTCCACTGAGGATGTTTCTAAAAATACATTATCACTGAAAACTATAATAACTAATGCAATAAACTTAGTATAACTGTAGTCATTTGAAGTAATAAAGGTCACAATTAGGGTTTTAGTCATTGTACTTGTGCTGTAGTCACTGTGCAATAATTCCTATCATTTGCTACACACAGAGTTCAGGGTGCAGGAAAGAAAAACAGCTGGGGTAAGGGAGCTGATAGTTGGTCCAGTTCCTATGGGACAGTTGTTCGCAGGCCAGGGAGTGCAAAAAAGTTGACCAAATGTGCTTAGTTTCTGTATAACATAAGTGTCCCAGGCTCTAACCATGAATTCATTTTGGTCCCATTAAGACAGATGTGGAAATTCAGGGGAGAACTAAGAGAAAGCAAGAGACTGAAAATATGAGTGAGAGATGCAGCTGGATGAAATAGACTCAACACTGTTAGAAATGATTAATGCCATTCTAGTGTTAGGATGAGTAAGCATAGGAATACAAAAAACTTTCAAAAAGTGTCTGTGAAATATGGGTCCTTTTGGTAAAGAGGACATCATTACCGTTGTCACAGGTGAGACTGTCTCAGTCTGGGAAGCAGTTATAGTTGATGTTTATTTCCTGGTCATTGCAGTTTTATTGTTGTTGATGTTTAAAATATTTTATCTTTATTTTATGTGTGTGTGTTTTGTCTACATGAGTGTATGTTATGTGTACCACATGCATACAGTACCTGTAGAGGCCAGAAGCTGTTAGATCCCTTGGGATCTAAGCTACAGCTGGCTACGAACCACTGAGTCCTCTGCAAAAGAAGTCGGTGCTTTTAACTACTGAGTCATCTTTCCAGCCCCAAGGATGTTTTTTGTGTTAAAAATATTAGGACACTATGACAGAACGGCAACATGATCTCAAATGCCTGAAGGGAAAGTATTTGTAGTGTTTGTGCAGCCTTTTTAAAAATAAGGAATATTGGATATTTTCTCTCTTTCTTTTATTTGTGTGTGTGTGTGATGGTTAGCTTTATTTAGAACATCAGACAATTTATACCCTGAGGGTTAAGAAAAGTCACCCACGTGAAAGTGTACAATCATAAGGACAAAACCACACATGACAAAGGAATCAATCAGTCAGTCAGTCATTCAAAGGGAAATGTAATAAGCAAGTTCAGACAGAAACTAACTTGAATCTTAATGTTTTTATCTACTTATTATTTTTTAGTGTGTGTGTGTATACATGTATGAGCACCTACATACCTGGACACACATATGGAGGTCAGAGAGCAATTTTCAGGAGTCAGTTTTTTCCTTTTACCATGTGGGTCCTAGGAATTGAACTCAAGTTTTCAAATTTCTGGCAGGTGCTTTACCTACTGAGCTATCTTTCTGGCCTCCAAAGCTTTGGTTAATATTAATGATGTGTTTGTGTCTGTTAGCAACTTGGCTATATAAAATGTAGCATTAGAAAAATAAAACAAAGATTTATTTTTGAAATTAACTGGCCTGTTTGAAAAAAAATAATTACATTTTACTTTATCGTATAATAGTAATTCATGGCTAGGCAAGTTGACACATGTCACCTGTGTAGTAATCTCAGCTTTGGAGAGTTTGAGAGATGGAAGCCTGAGGATTTGGAAGGAGTCCAGAGTGAGCCTGGTATACATGAGATCCTGTCTTCCACTTCCAAAATAAATTGAACCCTATATCTTGCCTCTAAACTTCTTATTCTAAAAGTGAGAGTAGGCATTAAGAATGCTGTTTCTCAATTAAATAGATCATTTTAGGAAATCTATATTATCAGGAAACATAATTTCATTAAGAATGTTGAAACAATTGTTTTTGGCTGATCCTATTTTAATAAATATTAGTAAATATAAAGTATATTTTAGTAAATATAAATAAATACTAACTAAAATATATAGTTACACACTTAGATAAATTGAGAAACTATTCTTTATTTATCCCAAATCAATGAAATTCATTATTTTCCCTGTAATTGTTTTATACAACAATGTTAAGTTTAGCAGTCATTCTTTTTTTCTCATTAAGGAAACCTGCAAAATTCTATTGTTTCTTATACAAGAAGTACCAAAGAACTACTAAGAAATATAATGGATGAACAACAAGCATCTTTGGATTACTTGTCTCGCCAGGTGTGGAATTCTTTTGGTGTTTCATTACTTTGTGTGTGCACATTGACATAGCTGTCAGGAAGTACAGTCATTTCATTTTATGCATTAATGTTCAGCACCTATGATCTGAGAAGTAGTGTAACATATTGCAATGAAGCAGTGGCCTTCATTCAAGGGGTAATGAGAAAACAAATATGGAAAAATAGAGATGATATGAAATCTGTCAGAATGACATGGGAAGCCTCTCACAAGAGAGAGCCTGTGAGCTGAGCAGTGAATTAATGCTTTAGATATTATAAGGTTGGGTGAGGAGAGGACAACATTCCCTTCACAGGGCACTGATGACGTGGTACAAGGGTAGGAGGGCTGGTGAGGCTGGGAATGTGTAAGGAATTCTGACTAAAAGAATAAGAAGCTAAATCTTGCTACACCATGGGTCATTTAGTGTAAAAGTAAGGAAACAGCATCATCCCATTAACAGCTGGCATGGAGGATGAGTCCGGAAGAGCAAAGGGAGGGAGTAAGAAACCCAGCAATTCTTGAGACACAGTAAGAACAGAGCCACAGGGGCAGACAACACTACTGAGTGAACGATTGCTATTTATGTCTTTGTTGTGTTAAAACACTAAGAATCCAACTTAGAAGAAGAGAAGGCATTCCTCTGCTGGCTTAGAGAGGCTTAGCGACAGCATTTATATAATTTAGCTAAGTATAACTGTGCCTCATGTGTCTGTGTTTAGGTTAATGAGCTCATGAATCAAGTTCTCCTTTTGACTACAGAAATTTTTAGAAAACAGCTGGATCCTTTCCCTCCCAGGGCTGTTCAGTCACATGGTAAGAGTACTGGTATTTCAGCCTTCACGCTTCTGTTTTAATACTCAACAATTTCTGGACAGCTTGGTGCACTGAAAAGCTTTTGAACATACCACTCACACTGTTTCCTAACAGCCTGGAGAACTGGTATCTGCCATTAACCCAGTTATACTACGTGTCCTTTCCTAGGCCGAGGGACTTTTCCACTGTCTGGAGCCATAGCTGTAAAGTAATATTCAGCATCTGTTGACCATCAGGTAACTGTAGGTGCTTTATCCTGGCGCCCCACCCTGACCTTTTGTTAATAAGTACTTTTCACTCAGAAGAGAAGCTTTAGAGCTCCTCCTACCTGTGAAAAATGCTTTTTTCACATGTTTCAAACTTGGATACAACAAAGGAAAAAGACATTTAATTCAGAAATAAATATAAAGTTAACTTTTTAAATATTAAAATGTAACTTTTTTATTCCTACATCTTATGCTTCTAAGAATGTTTTGTAGGTCTTACAAATATAAATTTATATAAAAATTCCAAGCAAATAATTGTTACTAAGGCTCAAATATATATTCCTAGGTTTTTCTTAGAAGGGGGAGGGAACAGGCAGGGATTGAGCCTCTCTTTGTTCTGCTCTGAGGACAAGCACATGTTTCTTTACAATGACCTACTCTACCACACCTCTCCTCAGTGGTAGCCGAGCATAAACTCCCATGTCAGGCTGGCCCTGAGTCTCCACACTATTGAATCCTTGCTATTAGTTTCCTCATCAGTTAGTTAAAAGTCCTTATTTGTCTTTCTTCATTGCAGTCACAATACCAGACAGAAAACAAAGAAGGAAAGATTTATAGTAGGGCTCACAGTTGGAACATCCACTGTATGGTTGTAGTGAGGCTTGCAGTGTGAGGCAGCTGGTCACACTGCATCCGCAGTCAGGAGGCAGACAGAGGAGTGCTGGGGATCAGCTTGCCTCCTCCTTTTTATTCAGTCTGGGATCCCAGTCCATGAACATGGTGTTACCCAACTTCCAGTTGCATCTTTCTTTTTCATAAACCTTCTGGAGACTATCTCATGTACACATCCCTAAGTGTTGAATTCAGGTAATTCTGAAGCCAGACAAGTTACCATAAAAGCTAGTTAACTTTGCTAGTTAACAGAGTTGCTGTGAGGGGTGAATGAATAAATCACAGAAAGTTTATGTGATGCACAGCAAGAAAAACATAGAGACTTGCCTTATACCATCAGCATCAGGTAGAGAACATGACATACAAAGCCCCAAACCCAAGAAGTCTGCTCACACTTAAGGAGAGATGAGAAAGCACATGCTGTGCTGTAGGTCCGTTCTTCACTGTGGGCTTCTCCCACCCCTCTGAGCATGGCTCCATTATAAGAATGTCTCTCCACAGTTCAGAATGCAAGCAACAAAACCACATCTCCTGGAAACGAAGGGGAACAACATTTTATACCAAGATTTTTGTTGAGATGTTTTCTACATCTGTGTGGTAGGCTGCTTTTTACACCTCCAGAAAATGCTATGAAGCAGTTAGCACTATATTAGGTAAATATTCTAAGGTTTCTAGTGGTTAGTCAACGGTTTCTGGCTAGGAAGTAGTTAACCTCAAACTCAAATCACCCAAGTAAGTGATGCTCCGAAAATGGTTTTGTGAGGAGGTGGTTCTTGTGACTGAACCCAGAGATCTATGCATGGTAGGCAAATGATGTATCAGTGAGTTATTCCCCAACCCTCTTTTTACTTCTTGTTTTGAGACAGGGTCTTATATAAGTTGCTCAAGGGCTTTGAACTATGTAGGCAGGGCAAGCTTTCCTGCCTTAGTTTCCCAAGTAACTGGGATCAAGGAATTGGAGTTATAAAATATATGCTAGAATATCTTCAAATAGGATGCAATACTCCTCAGCTCATTGGTATCACATACATATATTTATAATCCTTTGTGGAAATGAATGCTTTGGGTGTTGGGGGGCCGGTACAGCTTTAACTTGTGTAGATAGAGCATACATACACTGGGCTCGCTTTATTTCTTGTTGGTGAGGAAACTGACTTCTTCATCTTTTTGTTATTGGCATTGGTGGTCAAGGTTGTATTAATTATAGTTAACCTACTTATTCCTTAAGTTTTCTCCTCCCTACTCATTCTTATTAAAGAAAAACTTGGGATAACTTAGATTCATTGGAAAAGAGAACACATAATTATACAATACGTAAGTTTAAAGGTCTCAAATGTGACTTTTAAAGATTTGTTTTATTTTTATTTACATGTATGTGTGTGTGTGCCAGTGTGAGTTTATGTCTATCACATGAGTGCAGGGGACCAGAGTGTTGGATCTTCTGGCACTCAAGTTACAGACAGTTGTGAGCCACCATTTGGAGGCTAGGACCATAACTTAGATCCCCTGCAAGAGTGGTTGGGGCTCTTAACTGTTAAGCTATCTCTCCACCCCCAGAATATGAGACTTTTAAACACTAACCACTAAAAGAGATGCTTTCTGTGAGGACTTACTGCAGCCTAAATTCTTTAACTCCTGTTTTTTCATATATTTTTCTCTTGAATTCTAAAACTGTGGTAGTTTTTCATGACATCACACTAAAAGTTGTAGCAACAATTTCAGCAAGGATTGTCAATTTTCTGCTGTTAAGTGAGTCTCTTGGGTGCAACTGAATGTGCACTAAATTTTATTTTCCTAGGTTTGGATTGCACTGATATTAAAGATTCAATTGGTTCTGTCACTAAAACCCCTAGTGGTTTATATATAATCTTTCCAGAAGGATCTAGCTACCCATTTGAGGTAAAGTTTTCCTTTATTATACAGAGTAAAGTAAATATAAATGTAACTTAATTAGTATTAAAATTATAATTATCTTAATATTTATTTTTTATTATTAATCTTTGTCTTGAAATTTTAAATAAGCTAGTAATACTTACAGTTTCTAAAGTTTGGTTTCCTTTACGTTTTCTGCTTAGACCATGAACTTCAGTTTCCTGTCTAAGTTTCCATAATTACACTATACTTAAAGTAAATCTATTTGTTGCAAGGTTTTGTGCTACCTGTATGGAGGCAGAACTATACAGTACAAGTCCTTGCTTTAATTTACTGTGGAGACTAGACAATAAAGTTGTCCTGTGACTTGGGGCTTTCTGAAGTACTTTTACTTTTCTTTCTACTGGTGGCTATACTTTCTTTTGATGATACATGGTTTTACAGTGTGAGACTTTGTTTCAAAAATTAAAAAAAATTAATAAAAAAATTTTACTTGAGCATAAGGAATGTTGACAGCTGATCCATGATGAAATTAAATAATATGAATTATATTTTGCTCATCTTTAGAATTTATTTGCTTATATTTCTAGTAGAAACCTACTGCACATGATGCTTAAGAGTAGAAAAGATAAGCCGGGCAGTGGTGGCACATGCCTTTAACCCTAGCACTTGGGAGGCAGAGGCAGGCAGATCTCTGAGTTCGAGGCCAGCTTGGTCTACAGAGTGAGTTCCAGGACAGCCAGGGCTACACAGAGAAAAAAAAGAATAGAAAAGATATATGTGTGTGTATACATAATTTTTTTCTGGGTACTTTCTCAGTGTATAAAAGAATTATGATCCTTGGAATTTATCAATAGTCTATATTGTACAACAACAACCTTTTTTCTAAGTAGATATAACTAGTTTCTGTTCCTGAAGGTATTACCATAATTTCTCTTGAAGATTCTATTAACAAGATGTCAGAAACAATTGGAAATTAGGTGGGAAGTACTCTTAAAACTACCTAAGTCACTCTGCCTCCGCATCCATGGCTGGATGTGAGCTGTGGTAGCAGGAGGGCTTCTCAGCCTGCGAGAGCTGCATGATCACCTCTCCTGTGGTTGTGCTGGTGCTGCTTCCCCTGTGGCTTTCTTTTTCTTTTCTGTCTCTGAGTGGGAAGTTTCAGGTAGAGGGAATTACTTTGATTTCTTCCCTTGTCATTTCTATGTAACCCTGCGGTACATTTCACACAGTTTCAACTGAGGCACCTGTAAGCACCTGCTGACTGGGCTCAGATCATGCTTTTCTGTCTTGAAATGTCAATCTGAACACCAGATTGAGAGACACTAGAGTGTTCAGGAACGAGAAACCGGAGGCAAGCAGGCAACTATATTTAACACATTAAAGACCAGCACTGTAACTGAAAGAACAAGGTAATTTGCAAAGTGAGCCATCTCTCTGGCATATCACAGCATTGCTGTTATTCCTGAATGTATTGAGGAATAAATAAATACTACAAACAGTTACTACAAACAGTTATGTCTTTTAAAAAGTATCTCACACAGGGCTGCAGTTATGTTAATTATAAGTTTGTCTAAGTAGTAATATCTCTAGAGAATTAAAAATATGAATGCATGGTATTTAAAACTTTCTTGTGTTTGTTTATAGGTTATGAATGAGTTATATAATGTCAGATAATGAGAACAATGGTTTTTTTTCTTGGCCCTTTGTAGGTGACATGCGACATGGATTTCAGAGGAGGAGGATGGACTGTACTTCAGAGAAGGCTCGATGGGACAACTGACTTCCAAAGGCTGTGGTGTGATTACCTGGATGGATTTGGAGACCTTTTAGGTCAAATTTTATGCATTTCTGCTTTACTTTTCTCTTCCTTTGTGGTGTCTTATGTTTAAATTGTACCAGCATTGGTAAATCTATATGAATATAAGAGTGGTAAATCTATATGAACGTAAAAATATGATTTAAATTCTATTTTCTTATGTCAAATTATTAAAAAAAATTCAGTTATAGCCTAGAAGTCTGGGCTGGAGACATGGCCTAGCAATTAAGAGTACTGGCTGTTCTTCCACACGACCTGGGTTCAATTCCCAGCACTCACAACTGTCTGTTACTCCTGCACTAAGGGATTCAGAATTCTGTTCTGGCTTTTAAGAGCACCAGGTGCATACAAGGTACACAGACACACATTCATGCAAAACACCTATAAACACACATTTAAAAAAGATACAATTTTTTTAGAGATGAATTGAAATGTTATTTGAGTGAGAATTTGTTGTCTGCAGGTGCTTCTTAATTGTTCATAGAATGAAACATAAAAAAACCCAGGAAGTCATAGACTTAAAAGACAATAAAAAATAGAATCAAAGCATATGACCTTGGTTCTAGTAATAGTTATATAAAATTACATTCATTTCAAATGGTTTGATTTGAACAGAATGTAATTTTATAAAACTATTACTATGAGATAGTAATAGTACACTACTGTTCTTTAAACTTGAATATTATAAATCCTGGGTGAATTGTAAAATCATATTATATCATGGCAACGAGGCAGCATCACTTCTGATAGCAAACAGGAGTGCTAATGTTTCTGAACCCTTCAGATTTTGCATTAGTTAAAATATCTAAAGTTGTTTTTGATATTATTTATGCTATTTTAACTATAGTTTTTATTATAATTTTAAATACCTAACATCCCATAATGCTATCCAGGGATTTGGTCAGTTGTGGCTTTAGGCATACCAGTGATTTTGGAAGACATTTGGTCAATTGTGACATAACAACTGAGCTGCAGGCAGTTAAGTATTTGCTTTGTGTCAACATGATCTCTGGTTTCCCCTTGAGTCCATCCTCTGGACTCAGAGAACATTAAATGTCACCTTACCTCCTGATTATTTCCTAGGGGGAGATGGTAAGGATTTTGACTAAGAAAATCTACAGGCAGACACTTTTTTCAAACTGAGACTGTTATATGCTTAGTACAATTAAACTATATTGGAGATTTAATAAAATGTGCTGTTAACTCTTTTTTTTTTAAAGATTTATTTATTTTATTTATATGAGTACACTGTCACTGTCTTTGGACACACCAGAAGAGGGCATCAGATCCCATTATAGATGGCTATGAGCCACCATGTGGTTGCTGGGAATTGAACTCAGGACCTCTGGAAGAGCAGTCAGGACTCTTAACCACTGAGCCATCTCTCCAGCCCAAAATGAAAGGAAGGATTTTTTTTTCTTTTTTTTTTTTTTGAGACAGGGTTTCTCTGTATAGCTCTGGCTGTTCTGGAACTCACTCTGTAGACCAGGCTGGCCTCGAATTCAGAAATCCGCCTGCCTCTGCCTCCCAAGTGCTGAGATTAAAGGCGTGCGCCACCACCGCCCGGCGTGCTGTTAACTCTTAAACATGAGATTGGAGTGAAGCTGAAAGAAGCTTAAAACGTGTAAAGATCATGAACCTAAAAGGTCCTGTAGGAGCCCAGCCTACAATGTGTCCACTTTTTCCTGTACTTATTCGTTTCAGTTCTAATAGGGTGGTAGCTAAAATATCCATGGAAAAGAACTTAATATCTTAGTCATAGTTTCCTGAGTTTCAATACTGTCTAACTCATTATGTCCAAACCTTCTGAAATTTTATATCCTGTAATTTCATAATTTAAGTAGGTTGTATTTCAGGAATGTCCACATTTGCTATAATCCATGGTGGATATGGGGAGATAGAAAACCAGTAGCTATAATGTACACGCAAGAAACATGGTTATGGAGTTCTGCTAATATAATCCACCTTCAAGCTATAGTTGTCTTAGAAATATTGACTTAAGTCTGGGGAGGCCTCAGTGTGGCCACATTTTGTTTCTTCTCATAGGTAGATGGCAAGCTGCTTTTAAACAAAGAAATATTTATTCATAAGTATTTTTCAAGAAAATAGCAAACTTAGAAAAAGCAACTTTAGCTGAGTGCCTTTGGGAAATGTTTCTTTAGGAACAGTTGATTTGGGGTTTAAAACTCCTACATTTATGGGGTCGCATTGTTTGTTAGTTGCCATATAATTTCAACAAGTTTTCTGTCGACATGCCCTAATGGTAAAACTTGCTTTTTTACTTAGTCTTTAAATTACTTTTTTACTTAGTCTTTAAATACACCGTTAAGTTGAATTTGGGAGACAAAAATGAATTAGTCTGGTTCTTTTCAGCCTAGTGAACTGACTAGCAATTATTAGCAAAATAAGTTAGTTAAATACCAGCTGGTTGATGACTTGGTTGGGCCAAGTCGCCTGTGCCACAGTTAATGGTGAGTCTCCTCAGTTACGGAGACACTGAAGAGCGCTGACATGCACTAATAAGAGACTGTTCTCATCTGAGCCAAATGCATTAAAACAAAGTATTTCTCTTACAGGAGAATTTTGGTTAGGACTGAAAAAGATTTTTTACATAGTGAACCAGAAAGATTCGAGTTTTATGCTTCATGTCGCCCTGGAATCTGAAGATGGCACCTTTGGTTATGCTTCATATGATAATTTTTGGCTAGAGGATGAAACAAAATTTTTTAAAATACACTTAGGGCGATATTCAGGAAATGTTGGTAAGTTTTTAATCACTTAAAGGATAGAAAAACCCAGTATTACATAAAGATAGAAATAGTGTAAGACATACATGGATTACATATAGCTGATGACAATAGATTAGAGAATAATGTATAAGTCTGAAAATCTGTTGTGGACACTGTTTGCTTAGTGACCTTGAAGTCTCTTATGTCCTCTAAAGTGGTTGACTGGTACCCCAGTGGCCCTGGGGATGGAGACTCTGGGGTCAGGCTGGGTAAGCAGCATTTCAAGTTCATGTTCAGGGAGTCAGAGCTCATCATTGAGCCTTTTAACTTTGTCAGTGAAGAAACCTCAAAGAGGAAGTGTCTGACCTGTGACCTCTACCACTCCACCCCAGTCCACAGTGACACTGACACGAGTTCTTTTCACTCCCCCTTGATCCATTCATGCATATCAATAATTTTAACTCATTAGAATGTCAGAATACTTGGTGATACATTTGTGTTTTGCTGCTGAACTTTTAAAGACATTTAAGTTCATCCTCCTGTTGTTCCTGATTGTATACTTGTTGGTTATCTATATTAGTGCTAGAAATTCACAGTGAATGCTATATATACCTTGGCTATCAACTGGTTATGGTACAAAGGGAAACACAAATGACATTGAAAACACAGAAGACTTATGGATCTTTAGGTTTAAGGAGAACACAAGACTGATTGCAAACAGATTTGGTTGCAGTGGGAGGAAGGGCAGGTTTCAAAATGAGGCTAATGTTAAAGCTTTTTGAAAATGGACATTTCTTCAGAATCTAGGTCAGTCGCTTCAGATCTCATGGACAGTCTGGCATCCTGAGAACTGCTGACTTAGTCTTGGAAGAAAGAATGGGATTTTGGCAAGTGAATATTGGCAAATGGGGCAGCTTGTGTCACAGCATAGAAGAGATAGCAGGCAGGGGGCTGCATGGTGTAGCTGGAGTTCATGGCATATTGGGGGGAGTTGGCTTTGAAATAGGAGAAAATTAAAATTCAAGTATTGGTAGATATGCAAAAGCTTAAAGGATTACATATAAGGTTTGTGTGTGTATGTGTGTGTTTGTGTGTGTGTGTATATTTTGTTGGGTTTTTTCCTCCAAAAGTGCAAAGAATTGCCTCAACGTGGAGCATGTCATATCAGGGAGCTTCTGTGGAGTCCTCTAAAAGATGACTATGCTTTTGTTAGAGGATGCTTTATTTTTATTATAGAGCTCTTAAGTTTCTCATGGTCATTAATTAGCTTTCAATTGTTGATCAAATGATACAGTTAAGAAAGGGAAAAGGTACAGTGGAAGGTAGATATACAGATAAAATGTGATCAGGCACATTGAGCTTGCGGAAATATATATATATATAAATATGAACTTGAACATTTGAGCAAGAACATTGTTTCATAAGAAGTAGGAAAGGGCTAGGGTGATTGCTCAATCATCAAAGTATCTACTACACAAGAACATGACTTCAGAGTCCTAGAGCCTATGGGCGTAACTGAGTATCACAGCGCAAGCCTGTAAGCCCAGCCTTGGAACATTGGGGACAGGCATGGTGACAGATAGATCCTTTTTCCAGATGGCCTAGCCTAATGAGTCAAAAGGTAGAGATGGACAATGATCAAGGAAAGAGACCTTAGGTATATGCAGGTGTACACATGCGCTCATGCAGACACACACACACACACACACACACACACACACACACACACACAGAGTACAAATATTCCTGATAGTAAAACTTGACAGAAATTTCTGTGGGTTCTCAGAGAAAGTGACATTGTAACTTTGTCATTGGGGTGACTAAAATATGTAACAGAAACAACTTATAGGAGCAGGCTGTAAGTGTTTTGGCTGACAGCTTCAGAGCTATGAGTCCATCAAGGCAGGGAGGTTGTGATGGACAAGAGATGGTTGTGTGGATGGAGTTTATATTTTTATGGCTAAATAAAGAAGGGGAATGCAAGAAGGGGCAGAGGCAAGACAGCTCTAAGGTCATGTGCCAGTGACCTACTTCCACCTGTACTTCGTTGTCATTTCACTATCTCTCAGTAATGTCTCTGTGTGATGGCTCTACCAAGGGAACCACCCATTCCTGAGGTCAGAGCCCTCAGGATGTGACTCTCCAGAAATGCCATCCTAGGCACACACAAAAGTGTGCTTCATTAATCATCCATCTATAGATATTAAAGGTCAGTGTTCAATCATAGTGTTAAGTTCTGAGAGCCACACTCATAGTAAATATGATGGGTATGTTCTAATGACTTTTTCCAGGAATAGTGTGTGTGTGTGTGTCTGTGTGTCTGTGTGTCTCTGTGTGTGTATATATGTGTATTTAAAAAGAGTGATTAAGTATAATACATTGAGAAGTCATCTGGTATAGACTCTCCTGATGTTGATGTTGGCAATGGAGATTATTCATGGTCATAGAATTTAGCATTGTTCCCTAGATGCATTACATATTTTAAAAAATACATTTTTTATCTTTTTTATTTGATATTTTATTTATTTACATTTCAGATGGCATGCCCCTACCCCATTCCCCCACTCATTAATCCCCTACCCTATCCCTCCTCCTCCTTTTTTGCCTTTATACTGTTTAAATTACATGCAAGTATTAAGGTCAGTTCTAGGTTGAGGAACTAGCAATACAATAGATGCAAATAGTCCAGGAACAAGGAAGACAATAAACCCAAATAACTAAAGAACATGCATGACAATAAACAGAATCCTGTGATCACTATTTTTTCTTTTTTTTAACAGCTTTTGGTTTTTTTTTAATTGGATGTTTTATTTACATTATATATGTTGTCCCCTTACCCCATCCCCCACCCACCCAGGAACCACCTATCTCCTCACCCCTCCTCCTCCTTCTCTGTGGATGTACCCCTACCTATCCCCCCACTCCCACCTCCCCACCCTCAAATTCCCACCCCCTGGGGCGTTCAGCCTTCATGAGGTCAAGGATCTCTTCTTCCACCTATGCCCCGCAGGGCCCTCCGCTCTTACCTATACAGCTGAAGCCATGGATCCCTCCCTAAGTGCTCCCAGGCTGGTGGTTTAGACCCTGGGAGCTCTGGTTGGTTGGTATTGTTACTCTCCTCATGGGGCCACAAACCCTTTCAGCTCCAATGGTCTTCACTCTAACTCCTCCATTGGGAACCCCATGATCAGTTCAATGGCTAGTTGTGAGCATCTGCCTCTGAGTATGTCAGACTCTTGCAGACCTCTGAGGAGACATCTATATCAGGCTATTATCGGCATGCACTTCCTGACATCCACATCAGCATCTACCTTTGGTGACTGCACATGGGATGGATACTCAGGTGGAATGGTCTTCAGATGGCCCCTCCTTCAGTTTCTGTCCCTCACTTTGTCTCCATATTTGCTCCCTTGAGTATTTTGTTGCTCCTTCTAAGAAGGACCTAATCAACCCCACTTGGTTTTCCTTCTTCATGAGCTTCATGTGGCCTGTCAGTTGAATCTTGGGCATTTTAAGGGTCTGGGCTAATATCCAATAATCAGTGAGTGAATACCATGTGTTCTTTTGTGATTGGCTTACTTCACTCAGGATGATAATTTCTAGTTCCATCCATTTACCTAGGAAACTCTCGAATTCATTGTTTTTAATAACTGAGTAATACTCCATTGTGTAAATATCCCACATTTTTTGAATCCATTCCTCAGTTGAAGGACATCTGGGTTCTTTCTAGATCCTGGCTATTATAAATAAGGCTGCTGTGAACATAGTTGAGCATATGTCCTTGTTATATGTTCGAGCATCTTCT